TTTCATTCAAATTACATCTAACTCTTGATGTTGCTTATAAATTCCTGATCTAGATATTATGCTATATTTTTTTATGACCTCACGAACTTCTAAATAAAGTTACATTAATTGCATTTCATCAGTAATTTTGATCAGATAATAGATAGATAACATCTAGCAGCCAACTCAGAAAAAACATTCTTTTAGCAACATTTTTAAAAGAGGATTATTAGTTCTTATAGCTTTCTGATAATTAATAATTACTTGAAGATAAATAAATATTTATTTATATTTTATCTGATAAAGCAGATTTTGTTATTTTTTAGTAAAAGCAAATTATCTTTTATCTGAAATATCAGGATGGGTTTTCACATATGATTACATAAGTTCTATAGCTATTATTTGGTGATATATACTGCAAATTAATTTTCAAGACTTATGATAATCTATACATTTTTGAAATAAGAAAGCAGATTTTCTGTCTGATAGTCTTGATACATTACAAATTATTTTAAATCAATTTTTCTAATTATTAAAATAAAATTTATAGTAATAATTGTATTATTTTAATAAAAACTCAAATTACTAGCTTAATTTTATATATATTTAAAACATATTTATTTCTTTATACAATTACCTTGGTATGAGAATTAATCAGGAAAATTTTTCTTTAAGCTTGATAGTATGATAGTATAGAATATTATCACAATTATTGCTATTTATTTACTAGTTCTATTCTTAATATCTAATATGTTTTTATATAAAGGAAAACTTTTTCAACATTTGTAATAGAGTTATAATTTATATTAATCAGATCAGGAATGTAGATTTCTAAAATAATAACTTTTTGATTAGCTAATTGTTAAGTATAACTGATTTGAGAAGTAGATGTAATACTTGATTCATTATTAAGAATATAAAACTTAAAATAAGTGATATTATTAGCACTATTGAATAGTCAATAATTTCATTTTTAATCTCAGCCTCTTTTTTTGAATTTCTACTAATGTTAATAGTCATGTTTTACATTTTAGACATGTTTATTTCTGGTTCTTAATATTTTGATGATGATAGTTAGAACATTTTTTTATACTAGTAGTATTAGATTAGTAAAAGTTATAAACGAATCAATGATATTAGTAAATAATAGTTTTTCTTCAAATAATAAATTACAAATCTCAAAAGGCAAATTGTATAATTTTTTATCAAGAGCTTTTTACATTTGAGGATTAATATTGAAGAGTTTTTTATGTTACAACCTGTTAAGAGAACGATATGCCTAAAATAAATAAATATGTTAAATTTTATTTTGTAATGATATATTTTAAATGATAAAACTGATAATAATATGAAAAATAATTGTATTAGATCCTCAATCAAGATAATTTTTTTATTCTCTTTACTCATTATCAAATGCTAGAAATAAAGACTTTTAGTAATAATTCTTCATATTCTAATAATTTTTCTAATCATTTTTAGAACTGATAATAGCTTTCTGAACTTATAATATGATTGCTACTAATAATTATCATCTTTGATCATGTAATTGAATATTTGATAACTGAAGCTGCAAATTGAACTTCTAATATGTATTTTTCATATTATGCTTCATATATTACATCAATTATAACAGTAGTTTTAAAAATCTTTTTCTGATTCAAAGTATTAGTATCTATATTATTATAAACTAAAGTTTCAATAAATATAATAGCTATTCTTGCAAAGTGTATACTATAAGACTCTCTATAAAAATCTCTCATTATCTCTGATTAATGATTTAATATCATCAAGTAATGATATATGTTGTTAAAATTACTTTTTCTGTCAAATAGATTAACTATGATTTGAAGTCAAGAAGACAATAGCTATAACTTAAATCCAATCAACTTGACACACTGTTTATTAGAGAGTTTATTTAGTTAACAAGAATAAAATTATAAGTTTTATGTTTACAAAATGTTAAAAGTATTTATTATTGTTATTAAATGTATATTGAATATAATGTTAGGATCTGTTCTTTTTCCAAGGTATTTCATGTCCTTTATATAGGAAAATTATAATTAAAGAAAATCTATGGTATATATGATACTATTGATAATAATAACAAAGCTAACAGATATGCTAATTATGTTAAATATGAAATAAATAATATATATGTTAGATATAATAATAATGATAATAATAATAGAAATGATATAAATTATAAATATGTCCTATTTAGTAGATATATCATATTTGATAGGTTCATTAGTTTTTGCCAGTTTCAACATTTTACTTTTATTATTTTAATAATAGTTTTGATACATTTTTATCAATCAGAAAATCGTAAATTTTACTATTTAATAAGAACTTCATTTTCTTTACATTTTTCATTATATAAATTACATATTTTAGTCATATCTTCATAAGCTTTTTGCAACTTTTTTTTATTCTTCTATTTTGATTCTTTGATCTTCTAGATATTAATACATTTATACAATTTGGTTGTTGATGACTGTTATTGATTAAGAATTTTACTAAATTTCTAATTTTAGAAGTCTTTTAGTATTATCAAGCTCAATAATTAGATTAGAATAATTATTGAAAGTATTTATATTATTTTTATTAGTATCGAGTTAGATCTGTTTATTTTTTTATATAGAACTTGTAAGAAATTAATAAAATTTATTAGTAACAATGATCTGATTATTATATTTTTTATAAATTAAATAAGATTTTTAAAAAGAATAAAAGTTAAAAATTCAGAAAAATAATTATGATAAAGTATAAGTAACTTAGCTATTTCTTGATTACTAGCATTTTGCCATTTTGGTGATTCCTTTATTTCACATAATTTTAATCCAATTTTACAAAGAGGTATAAAAGGTCTTTTGTTTTAGTTCAGATATTAAGACATTAGAATTGTTATTTAAATATTAGCTTGCATTTTTATTCATTTTTACAACAAATTTAAAATTTTCAGATTTCATTTACTTTTTCAAAGAATGTTAATTATGTGAGATTATTATAAAAATTAAATGTCTTTTACTTACTATTTGTAAAGTTTTTAATATTAAACAAATATTGTAAAAATATACTAAAATGTAAGATATAAAAGGTAAGTATGAGCTAATCAAATTTCAAAAGAATATTTTAGAATCTATTTCCATTATAGTATATTTTCAGATTGTATTATTTACTATTCATGTTAACTTATTCATTAATAGTACTTGAATATATTTCAAAACTAATTTTTATGAAAATTGATTAATACCTGAACATAATTATAAAATCAATTATCTATAAATAAATGCATTCTTAAAATTTGTAAAAGGTTGATTTTTATGATTTATTTTACAGAATACTATATTCAAAATTTGATATTACAAATTTAGATATAGTATTCTCTAAATATTGTATTCTTTTTAAAAGTACTCAGTTTTCCATTGAGTACCTGTGGGTACTATTCAATTTAAAAAATAAAATTTTTAATTAAGATCCTGAGTACTATATACAGTGGCATATGATACTCTATTTTCAGATAAGACTATTTTTAACTATTTTAGAATATTATAAGTGCTAGCATAAAAGATAATAATTAACTAATACACGTTATACTTAAAAATTAATGAAAATTTTTATATAAGAAGATTCTACATAAAAGAAAAAATAAGTTTATATTATTTTACTTAAATAATCACTAGTCAAAATAAGACAATTTGAATAATAGACTATTTGGCTAAAATTTAACTGATTTCAGCTAGAATTTATTATTTTGATTTTGACATCTTATTTATTTTAATAAAATAAATTTTTGTTTGTAAACGCTTAACATTAATGAATTCAGTACGGTTAAAATAACTTGAACCCAATATACCGGGGGTGACAAAAATATTGCAAGATCATGAATGAGATATTGAGTAAATTTTTCATTTGAAACTGAGCCATATTTTATTAGAAACATTTTGGTCATCTATTGCATTAATGAAATATTTTTTTTAATATGTGGCAATTCGTAAAATCGAATTTTAAAAAATCTCCATTTTTAACATTGCGCATTATATTTTCGTTAAAAGGCTAAAATGGCTATTATTACAGCAATAAAATTGGGTCCAGCAACTAAGAAATCATAAATATGTAAGAGGTTATTGACTGATCTTATGTGGTTATTTGCAGCTAATTAATTAGTAAAAACATACAAAATGCCGTTCCTTTAGCAAGAACATATAAAGTGCAAAGAATTGAAAAGTAGAGATTTTTTCAAAATTAGATTTTACACTATGCATTACTTTAAACAAAACAATGAACACAATGTTTCATTAAGTAATAGTTAGCTAATATTTTTTAAAAAATATAGCTCAGTTACTTATTAAAAATTTGCAAAATTATCTAATTCTTGATCGTATTAATCAATTTCGCTATAATTTTTACAAAATCAACTTTATGTTTCCAATAAAGATGTTTGCAAGTTATTAAATCAATTGATTTGGTTAACACGAATTCTAAATTTTTTTACCTTCCTATTCCTATTGAAATATATACTGTTTAATTCTTTTTATATTATGGAAAAAATTTTTTTGACAGCGTGAATATTACTAAATCAGGATTATTAAATTAACTTACTTATTTCATTATTTATTGCCGCGAATGAAAAAAAAAAGTGTATGGATCAAGTAAATTTTATTTGAAATCTTTAATTTTGAGATAATCAAACTTCTGAATTTTCTTAAAAAGCCTCCCCAAAAACATATTTATTTGTGAAAAAAACAAAGGTGAGCTAAATTCTACTGTAGTAGTTACACAAATCCAAAATTCACACTGCTTGAAAGATCCTTCTAGCCCTTCAGACTTCAATGCAAATAAATTTCTCATCAGTTCTTTGTCCACTTACTTAACAGTTCAGGTGGTAGGTCAACAATTGCGCTCACAAATATTTTTCCATTTACATCCTTTCTCAGGTATACAATTCACTATAAAGCCCTTCATTTGAACAACAAAACATTCCAGCTTGCGTATTATTGAATTTATTGCAGAGAATTCATTTAGGTAATCCCAGTAACGTTTCTATAAATCCAAGTTGAATTTTTTGGATGACATACTTTGAAATACCATATTTGAAATACCATAAATTGATAAATGCTATGCGAGTGAGCAACATCACCAGCTATTAGTTCTATTATACGATTTATCGGAGAGATATGATTCTTATTTCAACAAAATTTTCATTAATCAGAAAAAAAAACGAGCAAGTATTGTATGTGTGCAAATGGATTGGCTTGTATGATCCATACCTGGTATATTGCAAAACAGATGAAATACCAAAGCTCATTAAAGTATGTAGATAAATACTCATTAAAACTTACCAGTTAAAGTAAACATCGGACAAAATTCAATTTCTCTACCTAAGTATTTAAGTTGAAGATCACTTCAGTGAAATTATCCTGGTTTCAATATCACAATAATAATCAAGTTCAGGTTTAGTAATAAATTCATAAGAACCCACATCCAGGACATTTTGATTTGACATAATTAAAAACAATATGTCATTTTTACTTCCCCAAAACTTTTCTCTTTTAAGTAAGTTCATATCAAATATGAAAGTACTTACTCCCAAAGCTCGTGGTGCTATTGCTTATGGTTATAAATATGGGCGGTCAGGTTATACCCATAGCTAAACAGCTAGAATGCAATAAAACGGCTGTTTATATTATTCTTAAACGTCTTCACGAAATTGGTTTATTAACACCAATTCCACCATCTTGTATTAAAGTACTTGAAAAGTATGTAAAGGATACATGGAAAAATATTCCTCCGGAATATTGCAAAAAAAACTGATCGATAGCATGCCGCGACGAATTTCCGCAAATGGAAATAGGATTAATTATTAAATTTTATTTATAAATCAATAAATAAAAAACATATTTGAATTTATTTTGTCAAAATTTTATTTTTATTATATTATGTGTATATAATTCTTTTTTATTTTAAAAATGTCTGCATAATTTTGGTCGTTGACTGTACGTAAGGAATCACATAGATGCTTGTTTGTAAAAGAAAATCTTTACTAATTCTATCGCTATAATCGTTGTTTTCTTTTTTACGTTAAACTGATAGAAGTGCAACGTTTATTAGAATTCTTCCCTTCAACCACTCTAATTGTTATACAGTAGCGGTCATAAGTATCCGACCGCCCGAGATCGTCCAAAATTATTATATAACTACCCCTTAAATTTTCC